ATAAAATGTTATTTTACTTACAAAAACGAAGATATTCTATTTCTTTATCTTAATCTTCATCGAATTCACTATATATCTTTTAGTATTTCATTCCAAATAGTGTACAGTCCATAACTAAGCCTTCTGTTAATTATTTAAGAAGAAATTTTGAAATGTCCATGTAACAAAAAGACTTCATAACGATGTTAAGATGAGAGTTCTTGGATGTTTCATTATAAAACAAATATATGTTTAATGGGAAAAACAAAAACATTATTTCACATAGCCTACCAATTTCAGTAGCAAGTCAAAATAAAAATAATTAAAATGTTAGCTTTAACTGTACGTTATTAAACATTCCCAATAGTTCACGTTAGATTAAAATGTGACATAATAAACATTAAATGCCAAATTATAGATTAACTTGTGTTTTGGTGGATGATAATTACATCTTCACTCATGCTTAAATCAAGTTTGCCAAAACGAGTAGCATAGCGTAGTTAATAGATTAAAAATGTAAAAACATAGATCATAATAGAAGAAAAACAATCATTTCGATCTACTATTTTCATCCAAGCATAATATAATACTGTATCTAACACCAAAGTTGTGTGCGCCATTATTTACAAGCCAAGTTACAGGTACTTTTATAACAGTCTGATACGTTAACCAATAAGATCATAAGTTCTACTGAAGCAAGAGAAAACTACAAAGCTTAATCTTATCACAGTTTGGTGGTGGAAATATAATAAAGAAAGTTCACCATTCAATCATGTCAAACCACACCTACAGAACATAACAAGTTAGTCACCTATGATAGGCTTAGAAATTCTGTTTGCATACCTATTCTTAAGAAAGCATAAATTCAATACGTTTCCACGGAAGCGTAATAGAATAAGATCAGAGCAGATTTGGGAGTTAAAATAACTGTACAACTGAATTCTGTGACACGGAGCTATAAATATTCGGAACTGTACAAAAGAATGGTGCTTCCCTAAAAAAAAATAATTTACTGTTTAAACTTTTCCTGCAAAGTCACTGGGAAGTATGCAACCTAAAAACATTTAAAAATCGTGATTTTGTTTCATCATTCTGTGATTTAATCAGTTAACTAGATGTTTGTCTCCAAATAGCATACTTAAACGCTCAACGTTTACTTTTATACAAATATAATGGTGAAATAAATAATGTATAGAAACAAACAGTAGCAATGGGGTATGCCTGATACAAAACTACAATGATTAGTTAAAACTTTTTTACACTAGGCCTAATCCAGGTTCACCGCCATACCCATTTTGTTTTGTTGAAATATTACAGAAGCACTATGTCATCTAAGTAATATACTATTTCTTAATGAAAAAAAAAACTACATAGTCTTAATACCAATGCTTTGTAATAACAACAAAGTAAAAAAATGTGTAAATATATATATATATATATATCATTAGTATTAATACTTATCAGTACTAGAGCAATTAAGCCAATTAACATCACAAAATAATCAACTAATCAAAATTAGTGTTTCCAATTATCACAACTATCCAGTAATCGAAATTCTGATTATTGTCGTTTTCAATTATTCAAATTATTTAATATTGCCATTATTATTTCAAGTTAAGTAAAGAGTGCCAGCAGAGTCACAAAAATTAATCAACTAATCGAAATTAGCGTTTCCAATTATCCAAGTGTGTTTGTGGTAAAGCACAACGCTACACAATGGACTATTTGTATTCTGCCCACAGCAGGTATTGAAACTTGATTTTCAGTCATCCTGTGTGAATAATCAATTAATGAGCTTGGCATTTAATCGATCAGCACATTCCACTAATCACCCAGTTCTAGTCAGTATGTTTGTGTGTCACATTCCACTAATCACCCAGTTTTAGTCAGTATATTTGTGTGTCACATTCCATTAATCACCCAGTTCTAGTCAGTATATTTGTGTGTCACATTCCACTAATCACCCAGTTCTAGTCAGTATATTTGTGTGTCACATTCCACTAATCACCCAGTTCTAGTCAGTATATTTGTGTGTCACATTCCACTAATCACCCAGTTCTAGTCAGTATATTTGTGTAGCACATTCCACTATTCACCCAGTTCTAGTCAGTATGTTTGTGTGTCACATTCCACTATTCACCCAGTTCTAGTCAGTATGTTTGTGTAGTAACTTCAAACACACTTTCTATATTCTCAATACAGTGAAGTTATACATAACTTTTTTAAGCACTTCAATATTGTAATATAAGTACACCATTTCTGTAGCAGGTAATCTTATAAGCTACTCTAAAGTTAAATATATACAAACACATCAGTAAAAAAAGCTTTGAAAGTTGTATTAAAAAAAATGCACTACATAAAAACCTTGAAACAAAGACGGTGTATACACAGTAATTCTAAATTACACTTTTCTTTAAAAATACAGAATACATTATAATTAAACAAAAATCTGAAGAAATGGTATAAGGTAACTTTTCTTTTCTTTTAGTGTAACCACGTGTTAAAATGCAAGTTTTATAAGAAAAGTTTATATAATGAAACAAAGACGTACATCTATGTTGTAACTACATTATTCTGACAGTTTGGGAAAAGTTTGCAAGAAAGTAGAACTAATAAAAGTATATCTCAAGTAGAATTTATATTTCAAACAAAATTGTAGCACAAGGAAAAGCACAGTCACCCTTCATCCACTAAAAAAAAATGTTAAATTTAAAACAGCCCTTTATATTCATATATCTAGTCAAGAAATGTTCCTTAGAATTCAAACTTACGGCTCACACCAAACAAGCTCCATAAGTACATACTTCCTGTCATCACCTGTGTTTCAAAAGCTTAAAATATCTCTTGATTGCCAACCTTTACATTTCATCATCCAAACAAACCACCACAGGATGACTGCAGTCTATTTTCTCAAAGATTAAGTTCATTAGAAAACTTAATTTTCTGATTTATCAAGAACCACATCCATAATTTGTTTTTAACACTAAGAAACATTTTTCCAGATTGTCACGGAAATACAATGTATACTGGGACTTCTCAGTACTGAAACTTATTTCCATGTTGTTTACATTCTCTTATATTTAACATTATCAAGTTCAGATGTTATTTCATTTTGTATTTATTACTTTCTATCTTCATAAACATTAAGAGAAAACTACTGCTAATAACCAGACGCCGTTTAAACTGTGTGTAAAGTAGCTTAAGTTCTCACAGATACGACTTGACTTCATGATCGGTGCAATGCTTGTTAGTGAAATCTTCAGTAATAAACCCAATATCTCACGATGTTCGGCCAGCTTAAGAGATTTAGTTTAGTCGTAAATCCTTATACTAACGTAACAATACTAAATATCTAATAATAACACAAGAAATATCGACCATTCTAACCAATACTGTTAACGAGGGTAATATGAGAGAAGAAGCACAGTATACCACATTTACCACACTAACTAATCATCATTCTACACCTTCGTGTTATTAACCCTAACCAAGCAATGAAAATAAAGTGCCCTCTCATGGTGAAAATTGGTCACTACCTTACTTTAAAAAAATCTTGAATATTTATCATACATACTGTTACTTAAACTGATACCACCAAAGCAGAGTACTTCAGTTTAGATAACTACACAGATGAAAGTTTTCAATAACAACAACGTGTTTGCATCTACCATAGCTCCTCCTTCAAAAACTGTCATATTTTACTACTAAAAAAATGTAACCAAGTCAACAAACTTCCTTGATGAAAAGAAAACCAAAACTCTTAAAGTGTTGTTGATGATGAATCAATGTTTTACTTTAAATAGCTGAAGTCTAAACTTTTCCATTATTACAATGATGTATAACAGGTTTTGGGATAAAAATAAAATGAGCTATCATGAATTTATTACAAATTTATGAAAATGGTGAATTCATCAAATGTGATACTATAAACACTTACCAAGATTTCCATCAGTGTACAAACACTGAACTCTGACTATTTTATATACTATCACATTTATTTAATATATTAATATTACTATTCTTTAGCATAATTAAATAGCACATCTACTGATAAACAATAAATTTCTTATATTCGTACAGCTTCAATAATGAATTCAATATAATACAGAACAATAGATAATCAGATCCTGCAACCAATATACTCCACAATAACGGCATGTTATTCAAAGCAAAAGTGGCAGAGAGTAGACGTAACAGCACTCAGTCCAACCGCTACATTATCAACAACTGTCTTATAACCACGTAGTTACAGCTGCTCAATATATAAATTAGTGCAATACTACATGCTAATAATTTCATTGTCCAGAGTATAAAACAAATAACAGTTATCTTTGATAGGCTTGACAGTTTCTAATGTGGAGAATGACTGATTGAAATAATTGTTCTTGCTATACATATAAAACACTGATAACTGTGTTTATTTTGAGATAACTTTACACAGGTTATCTAGCTGTGACATCAGTTACCCAATTTACTTCAAAACCCTAAGATAAAATGTTTCTATGATAGCAAGTTAACTAAGGGAAAAATCCTATATTGCACTCTTTACCTATACTATGCTACAGATGATTTTTCACCTTTAAAACTAATACTATCTTACTTTTGTTTAGCTTTATAATAAGAACTTTACATGGCTGCTAAATGAATGTTACATCATAAACGTTTTCTGTGAATTATACGAAATGGTGATATACATCTTAAATTTCACTTTTCACAATTAAGTTATTTACATGCATATTTTTTAGATAATTACTAAATATTAACAATATATTAGTGTATTTAACAGATAATGTTACACCTCAGTATCATTAGACTAAAAACTTATACTACTATTAACTGGTCTCACTGAGACAGATAACCTGCTGGGCCTATTTACGGGAACTCACACTAAGTTCCTCAGACTCTGGTCATAGACGTAGACTGAGTGTTATGTGAATGTTTCTATAACACAGTGTTAGGCTTAACAAATCATAGGGAATCTACGGTTAAAGCCGAACCTCCCAAACACTTGCTTTACTTACCAGTGCAAAGACATTGGTATGACAGTCCTCGAGACTCGCCCCGTTTGTAACAAAACTGGGGTGCGTCATAATCAATCCATGACCTAAACTTGCCTTAGAATTGGGATAAATATTCTATGTGATTTCTCGGGCCATAAATCTCTGAAAATTGTGTAATATAGTAAATATTCACCAGAAGATGGCGACAGACATGGCGGATAGGAACAACAACGGAGTACAGTGACAACAATGGGGATTGGATGATGATTGTCACGTGCCAATGCCCGTCTCCGGTAAAATGGCAGCCTCCATGTAACAGAGTACAAATATAAACTAAGTAGATAAAATCGTCAATCAGTCATTAAGAAATTACAAATTTAAAGTAAGTTAAATTACTTATAGCAAGTTGATTGAGATTGTAGTGCAATCTACAATATATTACGAGCTGTAAATTCAGAAATAAGGAACATAACAGTCAAAAATGAGTAGTGTTCAAATTAGTCATAATAAATAATGAAAAGCACGCCACCACCGGTAAGAAACAAATGAAAATTATTAAAAAAAATAAATAAGATAGAATAAATATATTTAAATAAAGAGAGTACAATGTAAGTATTTATTACCCACTATCTAATATATCTCATGACTTTGTATTCTAAAATTAGCAGTAACACACAATTAATAATGGAAGTCATGAATTACTTATTTTAACCATTTTAACAGTATTTTTTAGGGATGAATGAATAGTAAAATTTGGCCAAATACCGGGTCCAGGTACCCGGTTACTAAGCTTCGCCCGGGACCGGATTCTCCCCTTGCTCCCCCCCCCCAAAAAAAACAACATACAAAAAAATTAGAAACAAAAACAAGATTGACGTTTATTACATTTAACCGAATAATCACCAACAGAACATTCAAGTTTTACTTTCAACTTTCAATGCATAGCCCCAACTTCCACAAACCCTAACCCCACCTTCCCCAGAAATACACTTCTCAAGCCATGCCTGTTATTAACCCCTGTTGTTCTCTGAATCCACGACTTTCAGCGGGCGGACAGTTTTTGTTGCTCGGAACACGTTTTTTTTCTTTTTTTTAACTAAACCAATTATTGACTATAACTTTCTGTACCGCGTTAGTTGCCACAAAAATTAGGGCTTAGATGCCTAACTTCGACATCCGAATATCTAACCGGAGGCCCGTGCCTCATTAGTATTTTTATTGTATTATTTAGTGTATCATAAAAGGGGTGTCCAGAAGATCAAAGAATATGTTGTATTAATCTTACAATAATATAATTTGGGAAAACGAATGTCTGTCCGTAAGAGTAGCACTTCGCTGAGCCAATTTTTTTGCTCACGGTCAGCTCTATGAAGCTATATTTGGGCACGATCATTCGATCGGTTAAAAATCTATGCCTCTGAAGGTGCAAATATTAAAAATGTTGTTTACTAGGAACTTTTGTAGACAATTTTTCTAATATGAATTCCATAGTCTTTAGTTTTAGATCGTGGCTTGAAATACCATATATGTTTTTTCGAATTTTTGACACGTTCTAAAAGCAGAATAATATCGTTTGATATCTGTCCGTCCACTGAGCATGAAAATAAAGAAGGGCTATTAAGAGCAACTCTTATGATTGAATGTTAATCTCTGTGTGTATGTGTTATTGAAGTTTAGCATAATTTTCATGCTTCTGTAGTATCAAATGGTTGTTTTTTTAAGTCAGTTTTAGAGTATTGTTTATGTCGTTTTATACTATTAAAAATATTACATTTTTTTATATTTTAAAGAAAATGCACGTGCAATAAGTGTGTCTGGAAACATTTTGTTTTTATTTGAGGTTCTAGTAGGTTTGATGCGTAGTTTTCGGAAATGTTGTTCAGAAATTCAATGTTTTTGAGTTCTAAGGATTTTGCTAATTAACAAGTGCAAAAACCTGGATAGATAATTGAAACTTTTGGAAGAGAAATTTTATAAAGTATTTCTAGTATTAATAAGTGTGTATCAGGGATGACTAAAAAAAACCTTTGACGGTGGAGTGAGTTCTCAGAGTATCAACATTACCGGAGATGTTTTTTAGTTGTGAAAGAACCTTTAGGAAGAAAGTATCTTAATGGCCAAATATTCAATTTTGTGTGGTTAGATAAGAATTCAATTTGAATGAAATATCACAGCCCTAAATTTTTTTTTTTCGTATTGTGACGCACGAGTTTAAATATAATATTGATACTCGTAAAATATTCGTGTATCGTCAATTTAAAATGGAAGTATACTTAGGATTATACAACAAAGAAATCCAACAAATAACATTAAATATATTCACGTTATTATTAGTGGTATATCTGATCTTTCACCAAAGTTTAATGTTTAGTTAAATAAGTTTTAGATAGAGAGTTAAAGAATTGTTTAATTTGACAAAAAATCTCTGTGTGTGTGTGTGTGTCCGCTTATAACTAGCGAACCGCTGAAGTGATTGCTACCTGACATAGCATGTACCCTTAAGCCCCTTTGGGAGTGACGGGAGTGGGTCTGTGTCTGGATCTTTCCCCTTCTATGTTGCCCTGCATGGCTAGGTGGTTAGGGAGCTCGACTCGCAATCTGCGGGTCGCGGGTTCGAATCCCCGTCACACCAAACATGCTCG